ACCAATTTTAATGTCATGAAAGGGTTAAAAAAAATTAAGAGGCGTATCGTAAGTGACCACTGGGGAAGGGCCGCTTCTGGACGCCAACGTGTTGAAACGAAACTTAAGTAAAACCCCTCAAAGAGAACTGTTTTTTAAATAGAGAAAGTTTGCTTTCTATTTTTCGCAGCTTTTATTAATCAGAAACTTGAGACTTTGCAGGTATGGTTACTTTACTGGTTTCTTACACAGTCTGAGCAGTTTGTTCAGTCCACTGAGTTGAATTGTATTCGTTTTAGGTTATTAGTATTCATTTATTTATTGTATTTCGCTCTTGTGCAGATATGGCAACTGCCAGCAGTCTGTTGTCAGAGGAGAGGTTCTTATGCTGCATCTGTTTGGACGTGTTTACCGAGCCAGTGTCAACCCCGTGTGGACACAACTTCTGCCGCCCGTGTATCCACAAGTATTGGGACTCTAGTGACGTTTGTCAGTGTCCATTTTGCAAAAGGACATTTTCTTCGAGACCTGAACTCAACGTCAACACTACCATGTCTGAGTTAGCGGCTGAGTTTGCAAAGCTGGTCCAAGTCAAAGTGTCAACTTCAGACCGAGAGCTCCCAGAAGGAACAAATGTTCTTTGTGATATCTGCACCGGGATGAAAGAAAAGGCCGTTAAGTCTTGTTTGATGTGCCTTACTTCTTTCTGTGTAGTCCACCTGGAGCCTCATCAGAGAGTTTCAGTGCTTAAGAGCCACAAACTAATCGATCCTGTGATTAATCTTGATGAGAGGATGTGCAAAAAGCACAACAAGATAACAGAACTGTATTGTAGGACTGACAAGGCCTGTGTTTGTGTGTTGTGTTTCAAAAGCGATCACAAGAGTCACAATGTCATCTCGCTAGAGGAAGAGTATGAGGCTGTGTTAGCAAAAAAAGATGAGGTAATGGCAAATATCCACAAGATGATACAATCACGATGCGATAAGATAGATGCGATTGAAAAGTCACTTGATGCCAGCCAGAAAGAAGCCGATGAAGAGAAAGAAGCCAGTGTGCAGATGTTTACTGACTTCATTCGCTCTATTCAGAAGAGTCAAGCTGATGTTGTTGAGGTGATTGAAGAGAGGCACAGAGCGATGAAACAAAAGGCTGAAGGTTTTCTGAAAGAGATGAGGATGGAAGTTGCTGAGCTTAAAAGCAGAATAAGCCAGCTGGAGCAGCTGTCACGATCTGAGGACCATCACTGTCTTGTCCAGAACTTCTCAAGCTTACGGGCTCCTTCAAGTAAGGGCTGGTCCAGTGCTGGTGTTTACAGCAACTTGTCTTTTAATGAAGTGAGAAGAGCCATGGCTCAGGTGAAACAAACAGCTGATATAATTTTGGAGAAAGTTCCAGAGATCAAAATGAAAAGAATGAGAGAACATGCAGTAGACTTGACTATTGATCCCGACACAGCACATTGCTCACTTACCATTAGTCAAGACCGAAAACAAGTTGGAACTGCAGAAAAACAGAATCTTCCAAAAAATCCAAAAAGATTTGAGATGTATCCAGAAGTCTTAGCAAAGGAGGGCTTCACAGGGGGGAAGTTTTACTTTGAGGTGCAGGTGAAAGATAAGAGTAAGTGGACTGTTGGAGTGGTGAGAGAGTCTGTAGATAGAAAGGGAGACACACGTCTATCAGTTTCAGATGGTTATTGGACCATCGGATTAAGTGAGGGCAAGTATTATGGATATGAAAATTCAGCTGTTATATTGGTACAGTTAAAAAAGCTTCAAAAAGTGGGCATCTTTGTGGACTACGATAAGGGAGTGGTTTCTTTCTATGATGTGGATTCCAAGTCACACATCTACTCTTTCAGTGGCTATCGCTTTAAAGACAAACTTCATCCATATTTTTGCCCTCATTATAACACAGACAAAATGAATGTTGCCCCTCTTGTCATAACACCTGTACCTCACTGATTAGCTTAGTATGATCCTCATTTGCAGAAGACAAACTAGGCTTCAGCATTTCCATAATCAGTATGTAAAACTATATCTGCTTGGAAGTTCAACACAAGATCATTCTATGTGTTTGCCTTCTTTGTCTAATGTACTATGCTATGATGTTAATATATTTCAGTGGCTAAAATTACCAGCTGACTTCATAATGTAAGTAAGATAGACTTTGACAAGATATTTGTATGTATATTTTCGTATTTAGACAAGGTTACATGCAGGTGAATTTAAAAAATAAAATAAAAAAATTACACACACACACACACACACACACACACACACAGAAATACATGCCAGACCTTCTGCTTTTTGTTATCAAATTCAAATTAAAAGCTTTATCAGATTCACAGAAAGAGATGATACTAAGATGAGAAGATAAACTCTCTGTTTAAGCTGTCTTTTGTAGTTAGCAGTAACTGGAAATGAATTGATTTTATGTATTTGAAAAGTTACCTGAATAAACTTCACGTCAAGACTGATTTTCTCATATCGTTCCTTTATATTGCATTCCTCATAGTTTAGGCAGAACTCATATAAATACAAAAGGGCTGTAACGTCTTCCCTGTGCCATTTTGACCCATTGAACGCACTACATTGCTTCAAAAGATTACAGTAGCTCTGGTTAAGTGTGTGCATAAGACATAACACACCTTGAAGAAGATATAGAGATATTTAATTCTTCATATAATTAAAGGCTAAAGGTCAGTGTCGCTGAGCCTTGCTGCTACCCTGCTTGGAGTCTTTAACACTATAGGCTTATGATGGAACTCGCTGCGACTCACGTCTTTGTCGCGCTCACAGCTTTGTGAGACTTATAAGTCAATCAATAGTATTCTGCCCACTGCTTTCACTCCTGACTCCTGCCTGTGTGCTCCTGCCCCCACACTGATTTGTGTGGATGATAAAGTGTATGCGCTCGCATTATCCTCAAGTGTGATGCGTGGGCTGATCTTCTTAAGCACCACTGATGGAGCTCACCCATAACTGTGACTAAAAACCAGTGTGTTTCATTGTGTGTTGTCTGTCATTAATGGGAAATGAGCCCATTTTTCCTTACGACAAATGTTTTGTTATGTTTTTCAAAGTGGGTTACTATTAACTGAATCCTTTGATAGACTATGAAAAGACTGAGGGAGAGTAATGAAAGAGGTACGGATACCTCTGGAAATGGAAATCAAACATTGTGCGATGAAAGATATTTTGACATTCTTGGAAGAAGGCAGCGTGAATATTACATTGCAGGATTTAACTGCATTATTCTCTCCTTAACATGATCTTCTATCCCATCTTAAGCAAAACATATACTTTTTTCTTTTAGTCGTATGTCTAAAAGACTGAGGAGGGCCAACTGTGTAATCAGGTGTAAAATAGAAATAGAATGATTTAGGGTCAGCTCTACATGACGTTGACGTGAAATACAAGGGGAGAAATCTCTGACCTGAAACAACACCAGTGAATATCGGTAGGCTACTGGGAAGAAAAAAAAGTCTAAAAATGGTCAATCACACTGCTCTCTATTGATTCAAAGTACACATTTGTTGTGCTTAGAGCCACAACACAATCAGTGATGACACAGCAGGTGTTTTGACTTTTGCAGCTACTAAAAAAGCACCTGCTGTGACTTCTGATTGGGATGAAGAAAGAGGGCAGCATGCTTAAAAGTTACAGGAGTTACAGTAATGTACAAAAGTCTTGAGCCACTCTTAATTTCTTTAGATTTTGATTCCACAGAGCCAGACTTGCTTGTCATTTTTTATAATGGTCTTGAAAAATCTCCAGGCTTTCTGAAGGCCATTTGAGATGTAGCTGGCCCTTCATTTAAACAGCCTACTGTTCACTGAAACCTCATCAAAAGTTATCTGAGTTGGAAGGGTGGCTGTTAATAAGCCATTCTTAAGGAAGGAGAACAGAGAAAAATAAGGCTGAGGTGTGCCAAATTACACAAGAAATTGACTGGGGAAAGAAATCAGCTGTAATATGTCTTATGGAGTAATGAATCCAAATTTGAAATATGCATGGAAGAGGTCCGAAGAGAGATACAACAGTGAATGTCTATAGCCGTCTTTAACACAGCGTGGATACTCTACCGTGCTTTGAGGCTGGATTTCAGCCAGTGTTGTTGGAGCTCTTATCCAAATTAATCAAATTATGAATGTAGAAAAGT